CTGGGAAACGAGATGGGCCTGAGAAGATGGGTACACGTTCCTCAGCATGGAGATGGGGGTTGGGCTAGATGGCACTGCTCAGACCCACCTTCTGCTGGTGGACCGCCATGACCTGTCTGGACGAGGGAGCGAAGGGAGTGGTGGGGCTTCAGGCCAAATCTCCTTTCTGCCCTCTGTCAGAAGACATCAGAGCTGGAAAGAGCCTTGAAAGTCTTTACAGGAGGGGATACTGAGGCCTGGAGGACTTACACAAACTTATACTCCAACTTAGTGGCAAGACCAGAGTGGAACATCAGTCTCCCAGGCCCTTTTCAAAAGCGTTGCTCCGTGGCGTTGGTGGTTGAAACCCACCAACCAGCAAAGCCCAGGGCTTCGTGGCTAATTATGTGTTCGCTCCTGAGTCACAGGGTATTTTTACTAAAGAGACCCACAGCCGGAGCATTCTGGTTCAAGCACTTCTGCCCCTGGGGAGGGAGTGTGTTGAAGTGTCCAGGTGAGCTGTCTGTCTTTCCTGTCCGCAGGCTGACTCGCTGACTTCATGGCTGTGCCACCTCCCCAGGACAGGGGTGGACCGAGTCCCAGCTGTGATTGGGGACGCGCTCCCACCGCCTGGGGGAGGAGGGTGTAATTAGGGCAGCTTTGTGGGCCTTTAACTGGCATCTGTCACAGCTGCCAAGCAGCACTGGGCAGCGTGGGCTATTAGGCTGCTGGGTGCTGGGCTCTTGAGGGGACTAGGCTGCCGCGTGTGCCTGCAACGCTTGTGGAAAACCCAGCCCTGCTTCTGCAGCCCCTTCCTCCCCCGAGACTGGGTTTGAGGTGGGCTTGTTTGTGCCAGCTCCGGCAGTCACGAGTGCTGGAAAACAGGAAACCACTACCCGTAGTGCTGGGTGGGCTCTGGGGACATGAGGAAAATCCACACATTCTTGCAATGTTTGTCTAGCTGAGCGTGGGCCGCTTGAGACAACAATGGCTGTGCTCCCCTAAGGGAATTATCTCTTCACCCCTCTTCCCAGGCATAGGGTGTGCACCCTGGCTCGGACCCTTCTCCGGGCTGGCTCGACGCCCCTCCCCACCCGGGGATTTGTAGATTCAGAGAAGGTCAGATAGAGGTGGGTCCTTAATGGGCGCCTCGACCCCACCCTCATTTTATACATGGGGAGGCTTGACAGAGACTGCCCTGGGCTTCCCAGGTTATGGGCCCTTAATTCAGTTCTGATTCTTGGGTTAAAAACACCATTTTGAAGTTGGCTGGGCATGCGAGTGTACATTATAAATAAATTTAACAAGTGTTAGCACGTCACCAGGAGCAGTTAGATTGCTAGCTTTTGTAAGTCGGTGTAGAGGGTAAATCATGCGCACGCGTGCGCACGCACACAGAAGAATGTGCCAACACGCCAGACCCTGGTGAGCACAAACACAATTGTCCTGGTAGATGGGTCTTGCTCCATGCTCTGGGACTCAGAATCCTACAGTCTTAGCCATGGACAGGACATCAGCTGTTCAATACCCTACCAGACTCGGGGGTTCTTCTCTATGAGCTCCTTACCTAGTGGTTGCTCAGCCCCTGCTTGAACACTTCCAGCAAAGGGGAGTCTGCCACCTCTAGGAGTTTGTCCATTCTGATTTTGGGTAAGCTCTCTTTGGTGGTGAATGGAAATTTGCTACGCTATAGCTTCTACCCATTAGTTTTGACCCCTGGGGCCACACCAAGCAAGGCTAAACTTACTTTATCCCATAGCAGCCCTTCATGTGTACTAGGAAAGTGCCTGTGGGCTCCTCACGTCTCTTCTTCTGGCTGAAGACCATGATGGTGACTAGTTGCTGTTGCGTTGAGTTGACTCTTCCAACTCATGGTGACCCCATGTGTGTCAGAGTAGAACTGTGTTCCATAGGGATTTCAGTGGGTGATTTTTTGGAAGTAGATCACTTCTAGCTATTCATCCACATTTCCTTCAGTGATTGGTTCCTTTCACCACCCTGTCTACCCTTCTCTAGATGCCCTTGAGTTTGTCTTTAGCCTTCTTGAGGTACGCGGGTGGAGCTGAACACAGTACTACCGGTGAGGTCTGATTGCGGACGTCTAGAGTGAGACTGTCACCCTTCTTGTTCCAGACTTGATACTTCTATCAGTTCAGCCTAAGATTACATTAGCTTTTATGGGCGGCCTTCTTACTTTGTTGACTCAGATACATTTTGCCATCAATAAAAAGCCCTAAGTCTTTCTCCTGGGTTGGATGTTGAGCTACTTTTTCTGTGTTCCCTGTTCAGGCAGGTAGTTTTCTGTTCTCAGCTTCTTGACCTGACATTTATCTGTACAACGTCATCATTTAAGTTGTGTCCACAGCCTAATCAGGCCCCATCCCTTTGCACTGGACAGCAGGCAGGGGGTTGGATTGGCTGTGAATAAGTGAAAAATCCCGGTCTGCTGGCTGGTGGATGCACATTGGTTCTGTCCTCAGGGTAAGCTTGTTGGGAGTAGGGGAGAGGGCTGAGGCCATACTAGGAAGCCTGGATTACTCTGAGTTGTGGGCTGGGATCAGGACTCCCAAGAGTTCAGGACACAAGGAGAGCCTGAGAAATGCCTTCTCCACTCTCCCACTTTATGTCGTGTAGACTATCATTTGAAATCCTTTCCTCTGACTCAGGATTTTTGTTCATTAAAAGGAGAGGCACTGCATTCACACCTAAAGTGCTCCCTCAGGAGTCTGGAGACCTGGGCTTTAGCTCTGAGCCTCAGTTTTCCTGCTCCCTGTGTTCCCGTAAAATGATGGGAATGCATTATCAGTGATCCTTAACCCTTCAGGAGTTACCAACCCCTTTGAATATCAGATGGAAGTTACAAGATGCCTTAGTTTCTTTGTACTGCTGTAACTGAAATGCCGCAAGTGGGTGGCTTTAAAGAACAGAAATTTATTTTCTCACACAGTTCTGGAGGCTAAAAGTGCGAATCAGGGTCTCAGCCACATGGATTTCTTCCTTGTTGGTAGCCCCGGGCGTTCCTTGGTTTCTTGGTTTGTAGATGATCCTCACATGGCATCTGTCTTCCCTCGTTTATGTGTGCATCTCTGTGTCTCATCTGCTCTTTTTGTAACTCAGAGTGATTTGATTTAGAACCCACCCTATGATCTCATCAGCCTAACAAAGAAACCCCTATTTCCGATCAGGATTGCATCCATAGGTATAGAGGTTAGGATTCCAACACATATTTTGGGGGACACCATTTGATCCTAACACCCAAAACCAAAACCAAGCCTGTTGCTGTCGAGTCAATTCCAGCTCATAGCAACCCTATAGGGCAGAGTAGAACTGCCCCATAGGATTTCCAAGGAGCGCCTGGTAGATTTGAACTGCCAACATTTTGGTTAACAGCCATAGCTCTTAACCACTACACCACCAGGGTTTCGATGATCATGCCCTCATATCTGCACAGAAATCCTTGATTAAGAGGATTTCTTGATTAAGAATGCCAACATGAGAAGCACTTTGAGGGATTCCTGCCTCCAAGAGTCCATGAACTCCATGTTGTGCATGAGCTTGTGACAGCCACCGTGGACATTTGCACAGTACTGTACAGGATGCCCTCACATCCGTGCTCTCATTTGCTCCTCACAACGGCCCCAGGAGAGGGGCAGAGGTCATCATTCTCACCTAGCAGCTCAGAAGGTGGAACCTTGGAGGCCTCGAAGGACTTACTCAAGGTCAAACAGCTAGTTAAGAAAAAAAAAAAGAACGCGTTGCCGTTGAGTTGATTCAGACTCATGGCAACCACATGTGTACAGAGTAGGACTGCTCCATAGGGTTTTCTTGGCTGTAATCTTTATGGAAGCAGATCACCAGGCCTTTCTTCCTCCGTGCTGCTGCACGGGTTCAAACTGCTAACTTTTAGGTTAGTAGTCGACTGCAAACCATTTGCACCACCCAGGGACCTAAATACTCAAGTAGGAACCAGCACCCATGTCTGCACATTACATATGTACGTCATCATCATCATCCGTGACCTCAAATGCCAAAACTTTCATGAATTTGGCTCCTGGCCCCAAGGGACCATCTGGATCTGCCGCCTTTTAGCTCAAAGCCTAAGATTTCTGGGACTTATTCAAGGCCACCCAATGTTTCTTCAGGGAAACTAGGACTAGTACCCAGAAGTCAGACCCTAGGCATCAGCTGAACCACAGAAGCTTCTCTCAGTGAGACAGGAAGTGGTGCAGACAGATAATTTCCTTTTATTGGGGAGGCTGTTTGAATTAAACCTAGACGAAACCTATGTGAAAGGGTTCATAAAGGGATGGGTTGTTGTTGGTGGTGATGGGGTGGAGTGGAGCAGGACAGGCTGGTGGGATCAGCAGTGTGCTCCCTCCTCTGCTGGCTGCTGCTCCTTCCGGCAGGCCGCCATGTTTGTGGCCTTATCTTCCTCCTCCAGGTTCAGGCCTTACTTAATTTGCTCTCTGTTTCTCCCAAGGAGACCATGTTCAACCAGCATGTTTAGGTACTGTGAGGGATAGAGATGAATAAGGTACAGTTCCTCCCTTAAGGAACTTGTAACGATGAAAGATGAACATCTCCTTCCTTGCTTGGAAGGCTTACTGAGTAGTGAATAAGGCAGACAGGAACCTCGCGAAGGCTGTGCAGGCCGGCCGCAGCGTGGGAAAGAATGTAGGTTGGGAGGACCACCTGCATGGGTGGGAAACTCATTCTGACTTATGGAATCTGGGAAAGCTTCCTAGAGGTGATTGCATCGGAACTAGACTTTGAAGTATGGGAAAGATTTGGATGAGAAAGACGAGTACCCTAGGCTGGGGGAACTGCTCAAGCAAAGGCATGGAGTGGGAAGGCCTGAGGGGAGGCCAAGAGACGTGCTGGCGAGTATATCGGGAGTCTAAGTTGGGTATGTAGTGATGGGGTTCAAAACCAAGCCAATGTTTGGCACTGAAGTTTGGCGTTGGCTTTAAAAGGGCCGCAGTAGGTGAGATGATCCTGACTAACGTGTGCTCTCTCCCCTTGCAGAGGCCATGCCACTGAAACATTATCTCCTTTTGCTGGTGGGCTGCCAAGCCTGGGGTGCGGGCCTGGCCTACTATGGCTGCCCTAGCGAGTGCACCTGCTCCAGGGCCTCCCAGGTGGAGTGTACCGGGGCACGCATCATGGCCATGCCCACCCCTCTGCCCTGGAACGCCATGAGCCTGCAGATCCTCAACACACACATCACCGAGCTCAGTGAGTCACCATTCCTCAACATCTCAGCCCTCATTGCCCTGAGGATTGAGAAGAACGAGCTGTCTCGCATCATGCCTGGAGCCTTCCGCAACCTGGGCTCACTGCGCTACCTCAGTCTCGCCAACAACAAGCTTCAGGTTCTGCCCGTCGGCCTCTTCCAGGGCCTGGACAACCTTGAGTCGCTCCTTCTGTCCAGCAACCAGCTGATGCAGATCCAGCCGGCCCACTTCTCCCAGTGCAGCAACCTCAAGGAATTGCAGTTGCATGGCAACAACCTGGAATACATCCCTGATGGTGTCTTCAACCACCTGGTGGGCCTCACCAAACTCAATCTGGGCAAGAATAGCCTCACGCACCTCTCACCCAGGGTCTTCCAGCACCTGGGCAACCTCCAGGTCCTCCGGCTGTATGAGAACAGGCTCTCGGACATCCCCATGGGCACTTTTGATGGGCTTGACAACCTCCAGGAACTGGCCCTCCAACAGAACCAGATCAGTAGACTCTCCCCAGGCCTCTTCCACAACAACCGTAACCTCCAGAAACTCTATCTGTCTAACAACCACATCTCCCAGCTGCCTCCTGGCATCTTCATGCAGCTGCCCCAGCTCAACCGTCTTACACTCTTTGGGAATTCCCTGAAGGAGCTCACCCCAGGGATCTTTGGGCCCATGCACAACCTGCGGGAGCTCTGGATCTACGACAATCACATCACTTCCCTACCTGACAACGTCTTCAGCAACCTCAGCCAGTTGCAGGTCCTGGTCCTAAGCCGAAACCAGATCAGCTTCATCTCCCCGGGGGCCTTCAGTGGGCTGATGGAGCTGCGGGAGTTGTCGCTCCATACCAATGCACTGCAGGAGTTGGACGGGAACATCTTCCGCATTTTGGCTAACCTGCAGAATATCTCCCTGCAGAACAATCGCCTCAGACAGCTCCCTGGGAATATCTTCGCCAACGTCAATGGCCTCATGACCATCCAGCTGCAGAACAACCAGCTGGAGAACCTGCCCTTGGGCATCTTCGATCACTTGGGGAACCTGTGTGAGCTTCAGCTCTATGATAACCCCTGGAGATGTGACGCGGACATCCTTCCACTCCGCAACTGGCTCGTTCTCAACAGACCCAGGTTGGGGACGGCTGCCCTCCCGGTGTGTTTCAGCCCAGCCAATGTCCGAGGCCAGTCCCTTGTCATTGTTAATGTCAGTATCGCTGTCCCCAGTGTCCAGGTCCCTGAGGTGCCCAGCTACCCAGAAATGCCACAATACCCAGACACGTCCAGCTACCATGATACCACCTCCATCTCCTATACCACTGAGTACACCAGCCCCATGGAGGACTATACCGACCTGACCACCATTGGAAGCACTGAGGACCGTGGCACATGGGGCATGACCCGTGCCCAGAGCGGGCTGGCCATTGCCGCCATTGTCATTGGCATCATTGCCCTGGCCTTCTCCATGGCGGCCTGCATCTGCTGTTGGTGCTGCAAGCAGCGGGGCCACACAGTCCTGATGCAAATGAAGGCACCCAATGAGTGTTAATGAGGCCGCCTGGAGGCAGGGCTGGGGAATGGTGGGGCTGAGGATCCTGGAAACAAGGCAGGTGGACATTCCATCATTCTGCCTCCACCTCTGGGTCCATAGACCCATCCCTGATCCTTCCCTGGGCCTGAGAGAAAGGTGCCACCACCTTCTCCTCACCTGCCTGATTCTCCTGTAGAGAAGCATGTCTTGGAGGACCTTCTTAGCACCAGGGAGATCCAACTGGCCAAGGCAGAAACCTGGGGCATTTCCAACTCACATCTGTGGGCTTCCTTCAGGAAGGCCCCTGCTCCAAATCCTTACCACCTCTACCCCAGGAACAGCCTTCCTTAGGCCCACACCCCCTCCTGGCGTCTGTAGACTCAACTCATACAAAGCCTGCTCACTTTGTGGGAATAGTTCTCTGCCCGGGACAACCCTTTTCCTCAAAGTATTATCTAAGTTGATTTCACTTCTCTTGTTCCTCTCTTTTGTGCCATGGCTCTGCCCTGTCCCCTCAAATGATAGGTTCCCCAGTGATTTTCTGCTCTTGAAGGCAGGCAGGGTGAGTTCTCTCCTCAAAGAAGGCTTCAAATCATTTAACTGGCTATTGAGAGCTGTCAAACACTGGGCTTTTGGGATGCTGCGGAAAAGAGAAGGGAAAGCGATGCTTCTCAGTTCCTGGAGAGGCGCCACCACAAGCATCACTCTTGTGATTTTTGTCTGAAAGGGGAAGAAAGGCGCCAGTGCCACCAGTTCAGCCTTTGAAGAAATGATATTCCTGAGCTGCAACTTCGCTTTGAAAATTTTGGTCCTTTGAGGAATAAAATCATGTAAAATTTCCAACCTCTAAAAACCTTAAAATTAGCTTATTGGTACTGGCTGGAGAAAGAAACCTGGTACCTGAGGTCCTTGTGGTCACCTTTTGGGCTTTGTTTAAAAAAAACTTTTTATTGAAGTATAACATCCATACAGAAAAGTGGGAACACAAGAGTGTGCAGCTCTATGAATTTTCACAAACTGGACAGAGCTATGAAATCAGCATCCAGGTCAAGAAACAAAACATCACCAATATTCCCCACTCTGGGGGCTTTTATCCGAGAGGGCTGGGGATCCCAGAAATGGCATGGACTTCCCTGAGAACAGGTTCCCCGGGAGCCAGGGCCGGGTCCTCACTGTCCTCACCGCCCGTCCTTGGAAAGGCCCAGCTGTGAGAGGCGGGCAGAAGAAGATGTGGATACACTCTGGCCTGGACAGAAAAATAAAAACCACAACCACATTGATGTCTAGTTGACCCTGACTCATGGTAACCTCATATGCGTCAAAGTAGAACTGTGCTCCGTAGGGTTTTCAATGACTGATTTTTTCAGACAAGTAGATCACCAGGCCTTTCTTTCAAGATGACTCTGGGTAGACTCAAGCCTCCAACCTTTCGGTTAGCAGCCGAGTGTGTTAATTGTTTGCACCACCTAGGGACTCCTGGCTTGGACAAGAGATTTTATTAAATCCAGAGACCAGGTCAGAAGTATCCTACTACACAGATTCCCATGGAACCACATATCCTTCTCTGCCAGCAAACTGTCTGCTGTTCACTGGAGTGCCCCCTGCCCAGGCCTTTTATGGGCATAATGTGCCTATATCTGTTTTTAATTTCCATTCTCCATTTGGGGGAAGCAAAATAATTCAGAGATGAGATCTTTTAATTGAACAGCCAAGTGTAATGGAACTCAGCAATCCGTCTAATGTTGAGGTCAACTTCTCCATCAGCATGACAGTAAACTAGCAGCTGAGCTTCAGAATATTCACAGACAGGAGGCAACATCAGGATACACAGATGGGTCACACTGGGTCTAGGGGCTCTCAAGCGCCTCCTACCTGTGGTCTGCTTACAAGAGTTGAGTTGTTTGCTCCAAGGTTAAAAACCAGTTGCCGTTGAGTCGATTCCATTGAGTCGATTCTCAGCTGTGCTCCATAGGGTTTTCAATGAATGATTTTTTCAGAAGTAGATCACCAGGCCTTTCTTCTGAGGCACTTCTGGGTGGACTTGAACCTCTATCGTTTTGGTCAGCAGCTGAGCATTTTAATTGTTCAAGCCACCAAGGGACTCCTTGGCCCAGGGTTACTTTCCTCCAGTTCCTGGTTGAATTATAGTCACATGAATACATGCCTTGCTTCCCTTCCTTCCACACACATATTCACACACTCTTGAAGAAATTACGCTCGTGGCAACTTGTGTCTCTCTCTGAACAAACTGGTCCACCAGTTTAGAAGTTAAGACAACCATGAAACAGAGAACTTTGCTTCAGATTTCCATGTCTGCCCAGGAAAGAGCTTCAGCCGACTCAACAGGGATTTGGAAATCCACCACCAATCCTGATGGGCTATAATTAGTTACCTCCATCCCACATGACAAATAAGAAACCCTCAGGGGCCTTAGCGGCAGGATGACCAGCTTTCCCCTCCAGTCCCTGATGAAAAGGAGCCAGGAAGGGATGTTTGTAAGAACCAGTGCACTTTGTAGCTTTTCACTCTCTGTTCCAGGGAATCTAGGAGAGATGGGGGCTGTCATAGTCAAAAGTTACCACCTCCCCAAGGTAAATCTCGGTCTCCAAAGTGCCCTCAAAGTATCTGTAGCAACATGGTGGACATGTACCAAGGCTTGCCAGAGCCCCAAGGGAAGTGAGCCCAGAGCTTGGGGCATGAGCAGCATTCCACTGACCTGCTCTGTTGATCCTGGTGCCACAAGGGCAAGCTTAGCCTCCTCTCCTCCAGACAGGAGGCATGGTTTGGCCCCATTATTCCTCATACCCAGAACTTCCAGGAGCTTCTTGTGAGTGTGCCCCAACGTCTCATTCAGCAAGGGCACAAGTGAGCCAGGAATGGCAGAAAAGGGAGGAAGGAATCCTCTTCATCCAGGGTGCCCTGCCAATCTTAGCCCAGAAGCTCTGAATATTTCCAGCGTTGACCCTGGCATTGGAGTAGCTTCCTCCCTGGCCCAGGATATCAATGTGTGTCCCCAGGTCAAAGGCTGCATGAGTGCAGGTGTCGTTGGATGACGCCACCCAGGAGCACCCCTGCTGAGAGGTGGTGAACCCTTCACCAGACCTTCTGAGCTTGCCTGTTCCTTTTTCTCATCAGAGTGGACAGGATGGAGCCAACCATGTTGTCTGGCCATGGAGCTGCCGGAGAGGCTGGGTGGAGTCTCCTTTTCAACAGGGATGATGCATTTGCATTTTGCCTCTGGGGGCTGGAATGGCCACTTGGACCCCAAAAGAGTAGTGTTAGGGTGCAGAGTTCCATTCAGTTCTTCCTTCTCTGCTTACCTGGCTTCTAGGCCACCTTGCCAGGCACCAGCCTCCATCTGGAGTGGGCTCAGTTTGGAGGAAAGATAGTAAAAGCCAGTTAGAACCACTGTTTGTTGTTTGTTTTTTAAGTACCTACTGTGTGTAGGTACCCTTCAAAATCTTTCCACGCATTCTCTTTTTAACCCTCAGAGCAACCCTGTGATATGAGTGCAGTCGTTATCCCTTTGCAGTAGGGTGGGTACAAAGGCGTTTGTCCTGCTGTAACATTATTCAGTGGGTTGTGGCTTTTACTTCTCTTTTCAAACTTCGAACAAGGCCTTGTGGCCCATCTTGGGCTTTCTTCATTAAACCAAAGAAAATGGGAACCACACCCCTGTTGATCCCACATCTTAGTCATTGAGACCTCACTTGGTACTGTATGGATCAAAAACTTTGTGAATATAAGAAAAAATTAAACCCATCCATCCATTAAAGAAAAACTGGCCCATCTCATGGAAATGGTTGGGGCTGGGTATGTATAGTTCCTCCTCTTTAGGACTTAGAAGCATGATGAAGTTCTCAGAAGTGGCCCAGGTCCTTTTTTGTGGGCAACCACACACTTTTCACAGCATTTCAGATGTCACTATGGAACAGTGTCAGGAATCTACTTCCAAATTCAGCAAGCTTGTGGAGAGCACCTAGTGACTAGAGTTGCTCAACAGAGGTTGGATGCATCTTAGCCTTTAGCTGTAAACCACTGAAATAGTTCAGCCCAAAGAGCTCACGGTCAGAACCATATCCAGGGGTTTGGGGGAGGCATTGGTGGTCTTGGGAAGGAAGCAACTCTGTGGTTCAGAGAGGGTGGGCCGGCAGACCACTTCCAGGTGAAACTCTTCCCAGTTCGAGGTTTCTTCTTCTCCTAAGGAGAGATTGCTCTCACCAGCCCGTTGCCTTCACGCTCCCTTCAAAAGTAGGTCATGTTTACTTCGCTTAGAGAATCATTGCAGAAAGTCCCAGGTGCTTGGCGATGCGTTTAGAGCTTTCTAGGCCCACGGGGTCTCATAGAGTGTGAGCCCCCCGGTGGGCAGGAATGGGGGCCTGTCTTTTGCTGGATGCTGCTTGTAACAGGTTTGGTGTACAGAATCAACAATAAATGGTAGACGCAGGACACGTGTGCTCTCTGTTGACATCTCAGCTAGGGGGTCTCACACCTGTTGATTCTGCTCTTGTTACATGTGCAGGGCTGACTTGGGAAGCCCCTCAGAGAGAAGATTCTAGGCTGAGAAAAGGCCTTTGGGAAACGAATGCGGACCAGAAAGGAAATAATAATATCTATAGGCCATGGTGGCTGGAAGAGGCGTTAAGACTAGGTTCAACCCATTCTACAGATGGAGAAAATGAGACCAAGGCAGGAAATGAATTAATTTCCCATAGTCACATAGTGAACTGGTGGCTGAACTAGCACCACAGCTGAGGTCTCTAGACTCCAGGCTGGAGTTTCTTCTATGCCACCAGAAAGGTGTCGAAGACTGCATTCAACATTCAGTATTCATTCAACACACCACACATCTATCACCTCCCCAGGATAAATCTGTGTCTCCAAGGTATCTTCAAAATATCTGTAGCAACGTGGTGAACATGTACCAAGGCTTGCCAGAGCCCAAAAGGAAGTGAGCCCAGAGTTTGGGGTATAAGCAATATTCCACAGATGGTGGCCTCCTCCACTGATCCCGGGGC